CCACGGTGCCCGTCCATCTCGCCGGGGCCCTCTTTCTGGCCGCCCCTCCACTTGACCCAGCACGATGTCCTTCTCCAGGGCCTGAGCGCTGCTGACAATCTGTCCGAAGCATGTAAGACAACGTCTTGCCTCTAAGAGCACTCTGGCCTTACTTCTTCCAGGACAGATCAGGCTGTCCATTTAACAGACCAGGGTACTTTCAGTGTTCTTCTCCAGCGCCGTCATTCAAATGCATCCATTCTTCCACGTTCAAAGTCCAACTTCCACGTGCATCTGAGGCAATGGCCCGCTTTAAGATGCCACTTTGAGGACTAGGAAGCGTCTGACCCAAGCCACGGTCTTTCCTCATACGCATGTGAACGCTGGACACTGAGTAAGGAAGACCGTTGGATTGTGGTGCTATAGGCGAATACGGAAAGTACCGTGGACTGCCAAAAAATGCAAGTATGTCTGTCTTGGAAGAAGTATGGCCAGAATGCTCCTCAGAAGCAAGAATGACAAGACTTCATCTCACACACTTTAGACATGTGGTCAGGAGAGACCATTCCCTGGAGAAGGGCATCATGCTTGGTCAAGTGGAGGGGCCGCGGAAAACAGAAAGATTGGCACAGTGGCTGCAGCAAAGGGCTCACGCATAAGAACGATTGTGAGGACTGAGCAGGACGTGTGCACGGGGTCGCGGAGACTGGGAGTCCACTTGATAGCCCCTGACAACCTCTCTCTCCCTGCCCCCTTCGCTGCAGTCACAGGACGGGCGGTGTCCACGTATGCTTGGGTGAAAGCGGGGCTGGCACTCAGACATCTTCTAGCAAGGTGAGGGTGAACGGACAGCCAGTGTTGGGGTGCAGGCGCTGCCGGATGCACGGGGCAGCATCGGGGCGATGGCCTTTCCCCTGGACCTCCCAGGTATCCTCCAGAGTGAAATGAAAGAGGAGCTACACAGACGCCCCTCGCCTCCTGAGCTCTGACGGACCAAGAAGAATCGAAGAATCGGCATTAACCTCGGCGAGATGGGGATATTCGAAGGTTTCAGCCAACTCCGGCCCTGCTTTCTGAACTTTTCACTATTTTAAGGTGACCAGACGTCCCGCTTTTGGCGGGACAGTCCCGATGTTTAACAAGTTTTCCCGCGTCCCGCGGCGTTTTAAAAAAGTCCCGATTTTTGGAAAGAATGCACGACAAGCTAGGGTATACGGTTTTCGGCTACCATGTGGCTATTTTGCCAGGAGATGAATTTTATCAATGGTGTCCCGCTTTTGTCTGCTTTACCAATGTTACAGATCTCAGAGGGAAGAGTCCGGTTTCCGGGTTCTTTCAGCGTCTCCCTACACCCTCCAAAAGTCCACAGACTCCAGGTCAGCCGGCAATGGCCGGCAGTCGGGACTCCCAGGGTCACAGCGGCGCCGCGCACTTTCAACAGGAGCCCAGGCCCCGACGCGGTTGCCTGGGCAACGCCTACGTACCGCAGCAGGCGTGGCGCCGCACGACTTCCTGGTCTCGTAGTCCGCCGGCGGCTGCGACTCTGCCGACGGAGCGCTGGGGGACTACAGTCCCCAGAATGCCACGCGGCGGGGCGGGCCCGGAGGGCGGGGCCGAGGGCTTCTCCCGGCGTACCGCGCGGCCGGGCTCACGGGAGCGTGAGGATGGTGTCTCCGCTGCTGGTCATCTCGCTGCTGGCGCTGCTGCTGGGGCCCGCGGCCGGCCATGGCGGCAAGTACTCGCGGGAGAAGAACGAGCCCGCGCCGACCCCGAAGCGCGAGCCGGAGGGTTTCCGGATGGAGAAGCTGAACCAGCTGTGGGAGAAGGCCAAGCGGGTGAGCACCGGGGGCGCGTGGGGTCCCCGCTACAGGTGAGGGGCTGGGGTCCCCAGTATAGATGGGGGAATGGTCCCTGTTAAGGGTGGTAATGGGGCTCCTGTGGCAGGTGGGAGGTGGGGTTCCCATTACAGATGGGCTTGAGGCTCCCTGTTAAATGTGATGGCGAGGGCTCCCCAGTAAAGGTAATGAAAGCCAGGCTCCCCATTACAGGGGAGGGGCTGGGGTCCCTGTTACAGATAGGGGGCATAGGGCACCCTATTCCCATGGGGCGAGACTCTGACCTTTGGAGCGAGCTCTTGGGTACTGCAGATCCTTCTCCCTGTGCGCCAAGCCCCCCACCAGCCCCCCCACCCCCACCCCCGTTCCTTGCTGAGGCGTCATTCCTACAGAACCCTGGATGTTGGGGGCTGCCGAGACCCCCGCTGTAGACACGCTGGCCTAGGGTCAGCACCCCCAGTCTGTCCCCAGCCCTGCGGGCCAAGGGTCAGCGCCCGGTCCTCAGGCCAGCTCTGCCTCTGCTGGCTCAGCTGAGCCCCTCTGGCCGGATCTCCTGGATCCCTGTGGGTCCATCATGCTTCCTGGGGACACAAAGGGTGGATGTCCGCGGCTGCTCACAGGAAGATTGGGGGTTCAGACCGTACCAGCAGAGGCCTGGCTGGAACACTCGAACTCATTTATACGCTGACTTCACTCCTCCCGGCAGGGCGGGGGCCCACAGGCCGGCATGAACCCCACATCACCATTCCGTTTCTAGAAAATCCAGAAAACGCGGCGACGGTATAATAACACGCAAGGAGGTCAGGGAGTAACCGGGGAGGGAGGCCTGTGAGGCCAGAGGAGCAGATGCTCCCTGAGGGATGGTCAGCTTCTGTGTTTAGGGAAATGGCTATTTCCCCCAAGGGCTAGGGGCTTGGAGAAAGGTCAGAGTAGATGACCTGATCAGGTGGCTGGGGTCTCAAGGTCAGTGATTCAAAGCCATACCGCACGCTGCCCTGAGGGAGAATCCAGAGGCTAGCTGCTCCTAGGACGTGGACACGTGCTCTGGTCAGAATGGACTATAGGGCAGTAGTTTGTTGATGATGTTTCCTGGGGTCTCTTAGAAAGAGAAGCAGCGGGGAGAGGGGAGCGCCCAAGGGGCCATGTTGATGCCCAGCACTCATGCCACCGGCCCTTGGGGGCCTCCCCAGTCCATTGCTTCCGGGCTGTGTCCTTGAGCCATATGGGTGCTGGTCAGCCAGGGAACGGGGCCCTGGAGGGACCCACACCTACCTGTCTAACCTGGCAGGCAGGGTGGGGGCTTGAGAGCTCAGTGTGGAGCCCTTGGCCTGGGCGGGTTCCTCGCCTGCCTATGTCTGCCTTCACTCCCACACTCTGTCCACCCCTGGCCTGGCCCGTGCTGGTCTAGCTCTGGATGTCCCCTTGGGTGGCAGCGTCCTTTGCTCTGGGGCGAGGGGAACTTCCCCCAGGCCTGAAGCCCGTGGGACAGAATCTGAAGGTGGGTGAGGACACTTGTGCTGATTTACCTCCCAAGGCTGAGGTAGGTAGACCAAGCCCTTGGTGGCCAGACTGGTCTCATTCTACAGGGTCAAGGCCCCAGGGTGGAGTGGCATGAGCACTGGGGGACAGGAGCCCTGGTGGTCACTGGTCTATGAGGGCTGGGGGGGGGGCGGTGCCTATAGTCCTTGTCCTCCTGCTGCCCAGAGCCCAGCCCTGTGCATACATTGCAGGGGACACTTCTTGAATCAGCCTCCTTGGCGGAACTCACCAGGGGCAGGTGACCTCCGCTGCCCACAAGGAGGTGGTGTCCTTGCTGTGTGGAACAAGGCTTCGTTGTTTCCGAAGTGTGACGTTATATTAGGGAGCTCTCGAGTGCGCACGTGCGTGTGCGTCAGGGAGACAGGAGACCCGCCCCCCGCATCCTGGGGAGGCCAGTGGTCAGGCCTTCCATCTAGGAGCTGAGCAGGCATCTCAAGTTGTGTCTGGAGCCTGCACTCACAGCGTCCCCCAGTGCGCTTCCTAGGTCTCCCTTTGTGGGCCGGGGTGGGCCGCTTGTCCTGCCCCAAACACCTCTGGGACCCGCTCTCCCTCCCTCTGGGACCCGCCCTCCCTCGGTGGGACCCAGACCCTGCCCTGCAGCCCCCTCTGGGCTCGCATCCTGCAGAGTCAGGCAGTTCCTGTTTCCTGGCAGCAGTGTGACGTCCGCATTGTGGCAAGACCGCTGCACTGGGGCTTCTGCGGATCCCAGGGGAAGCTCCGGCAGGTCCACACTGCACTGGCATGGCAGCTCCAGGATGGCGAATCCCTGGCCTTGCCCCGGGCATGCAGGCTCTTACAGGGAAGGAGGGTGGGGGTGGTGCAGGGGGAGGGAGGCTGGAAGGGAGGGGGCAGGGGCAGCTGGACATGGAAGACACAGATCTGGGCTTGAACACGTGGGCTTATACCAGGAGGGGTGGGGGTTGTCCTCTGAGCCAGGTGTGCAGCTGGGCGTGGAGGACATGGACTGGCCCTGGGCATGCAGGCTCTTAGCAGGAGGGGGGTGGGGGTAGAGTGCAGGGAGGGAGACTGGAGGGGAGGCAGGGGGATGGGGGCATCTGGGCATGGAGGGCAGTGACTTAGAGGGCACTGGGACATAGGTGTCTGCTCAAACTGCCCTGCACTGTCCATACCTTGTTCTCTGTGCCCTGGTCAGTGCTCCTACTGCCCAGCAAGAGGGCATGAGGGGACTAGGACTACAGCTCAGTTTTTCCGAACCCCAAAGACGGGGACTGGACACAGGTGCTCAGGTGGAGGGCACCCCAGCCAGATCCTGGGCCGGCGCTGCTGGCCTGTCCCTGCTGTCCTCGTTTCCCCTCGACAGGAGGGGGTCCAGCCAGCTCAGGGAGGTGTGGACAATGGGTGGGCATAGTTAATACAGGCCCTGGCCCGGTCACGGATGGTGGCTGTGCTAATGTTTGACAGCCCTGCTCCCAGCGGTTTTTATTAACGGTCCCCTAACAGAGAAAGGAGCCCAGGGTCACTGTGGGTAAACACACCCCACCCCTACCCCCACTGCTGCAGAAAGAGGAAGCTGTCACTCCGTGAGTCAGTGCTGCTCAGAGTGACCTTGAGGGCAGGGTAGACCTGCCCCCGGGAGGGTTCCGGGACTGTGACTATTTCTGCCTGGAGGCTGGTGGTTTTGAACTGCTGACCTGGTGGTGAGCACCAGGGACCCTCTCTGTGTGAAGGGCAGCTTTGGAAGCCAGCCCGGGCAGTTCT